ATGACCAAAATAAGAAATAACTGGAAGGTCTACTCGGATCACCAAAGAGAAAATCAGAATGCCTGCCTTTCACAGAATTGAGCTGACGATTGTTCATTACACACGACTTGCTGTAATTGAAACAGAACATGTTCAGGGTAAAGTCACTTTATCCACCTAGAGTCATTTCAAGATGCACGTTTCCAAATACACGCTTCTTTCAGATCACTGTCCAGAGACTGCAAGCACAACTCCATGGGGCCCACGGCACAACACTCACTGAGAAGGGCATCAAATACATACATTCACGTCAAATTAAGTGCACGCCAAGGTCTCATCTGAGATGTACAACCTCCAGAGGACACGGCTTATGTGAGCAAGAAGGGGGAGAGTAAAATCACACAAGCTTTAAATGAACTAAAAAAGAAACCCACTAAGAGAAATACTCTATTTCAAAATAAAGAATTTCAGTGAAAAGAAAAAGCATCTAAAACTGACATTCGACTAGAACTGACCCAAAGCAGAGAAGCCCAACCCAGAGAATGTACAGGATCAGGAGTGAGGAGGGAGGGCACCGTCTCTGAAATGGCCAGCTAGCATCCAAAGCATCTTCATTTATAAAGTTCAAAAAGCAAGTACTTTTAAAGCAGAAGAAACACTAATAAAACTGCTTTTCTGGTTGTTTTTCAAAAAATTCCTCATAAATATGAAGGAAAAAAAAATGCTGGCATGAGCTAGTACCTTACTATTAAGAAAGTTTATATTTCCTCTTGAGAAGACAGCGAGTCGGCCAAGCTAATGAAGACAATGCTCTGTCTGATGCATGTTGGTTCTGTAACGGATTATTCGAGTCCATCGGTATAATAAGAGGTAGCTTTCCTTCCAAGGCAACGCCAAAGGCTGGCCTGAGGGACGGCTCAACTACAAACTCCTATCTCCTCAGCACTGAAAAAACAGTGCTCCCCCAAAACAACAGGAAGTCCAAGACAAGAAGCACAATTTACATGAAAAGCAGAGAAAACATCTACCATCTGAATGTTTACATGAGACCGAAGACAAGCAATTATGACAAGAGGCCTGAGCACAGAGTCTCACCACCACCTCTTTGCAAAATCCACCAGGAGCACTGAAGAATGGACCGAAAGCCCAGGAAACAGACGGTCTGCGAGCTCTCAGAAACAGCTGTAAAAACCAACCTCAGACCAGACCCCAAAGAAAGGCTTCAGTCCAAATAATCAATAACACACAGACCGTATTCTTCGAACACGAAATTATATCGGGAATTATCCATAAAAAAATTTTCTAAAAACCTTTATGTTTCAAAACTAAAGAACAGACTCCTAAATAGCCCACATGATAAAAAGAAATAAAGTATTTCAAATTAAAATTCAAAGAAATTTTGATTTTAATATTTAATAAATTTAAATAAATCATGCTTAAAGAGAAACGTAGAGCCTTGGGGCACCAGGGTGGCTCAGTCGGTTGAGCATCCGACTCCTGATTTCAGCTGAGGTCATGATCTCAGGGTCTAAGACCAAGCCCACATCCAGCTCTGTGCTCAACACAGAGTCTGCCAGAGATTCTCCCCCCGCCCCCCACTCCCCCTCCCCACCTCACATGCACGCACGTGTGTGCTCTACAACAAATTTTAAAATTAAAAAAAAAAAAAAGTATAGCCTTAAACATTCATTTAAAGTGACAAAGACTAAAAATGGACGAGCCAAGTATTTTCCACAAGAGACTAAAAACATAAATAACCAAAGAAATTAAAAGGAAAAATAAGGAATAGAAATCAGTGAAATGAAAACCAAAGCGAGTATATACAAGACCAGAAGTTGGGTCTTTGCTAGAGGGTGACTTTTTCAATAGTTTCTTTAAAGTCTCATCAAAGAAAACAAAACACAACAAAAAAAGATTTAGCAGGAAAACTGTGAACTGTAGATATATTTTTATAAAATCATAAAAGCACAGGTGAACCATCTGATGCCATGACTTAGTAAAAAGAGAAGGAACAGTTGGCTGTAGAGAGGCTGGGGAGGGCCTGGCGACGCTGGCTTCTGCTCTACCTCCCACGGCCAAGCGTCCTGCCCTGGGTGCAGCCCACACGTGGGGGACAGGCCGCTTCCAGAAACCCTCGGCCCCCAGCCAGGCGGCCGGTCTCCTCCACCCACCCACGTGCCTTGCAAATACTGTCATTTTCTGAGCGCACCAGGCAGCGAGACGACTGGGCAGATCTATCCTGATCACTGGCTGAGCAAAACAATGCACCAAATAACGGTTTCACTTCACGTGCCTTTGTGGTGAAGATCTGGCCGGAACCACAGACATGGGAGTGGGACGCACAACTTCTGAGAAGCCTCAAAGGAAAGGGGTGCGCTCCTGTCCGCTGCTCCTCCATCCCCTCCCTTCCTGCCAGCCGCACCTGGACGGTCTCCATGGGCCACGAGGGGCCAAGACGCAGGGGTCACGCACATGGGGGATGGGCAGAAGATGCCTGGGCCACTGCTATATCCACCCTCTGGCTCGGGAGCTGAAGCGCTCCCCGCTCATCTAAGCCACTGACACTTGGGGTCTCTCCTTCACTCACAGCCCAACCCAACCCAAAGGAACAGAAAAACGGAATACACCCACTCAAGAAACTGCCTTGGTGAGACAAATAAAGGGTCAGTCCGAAAGAACAGAACAGCTACAGCAACCCAAGTCGTCCAGCTAAGAAAAGAGCAGGAACTGGCAGTGGGACAGAATCACGTCAGCCGTGAAGGGAGCTCACATCACAACACAAGAAATTAGAGACACTGAGCACCGTGAGTGGGGCGTGGGCGGGGGAACTGCACTTGCGGGCACCATGGAGGGAGCAAGGAGGACGCAGCCGGTTCTCAAAAAGACCCACGCGCGCGGCACTCTTGCTCATCGGGTCTGCCCCAAGGGACCGGCGGTCTCCGTGCACATAGGACATGCAGGATGCTCTCCACAACTTTCTCTCCAAAGGACTGAACCCCCAACAACCCCCATGCCCTCACCCGACAAGCGGACACACACCCAGGGCACGTCCACAACAGGCATGACCCACAACAAAAGGGAAGGAGCTATTCCAGCAGCATCACCCCAACGGGGACGATGACAGAGAGGGGCTAGCCAGGACAGGAGCACAGGCACCGAGCCCACACGGCCACACATCTGGGAAACAAACCAGAGGAACCAGGAACAGAGCAGCAGCCACTGGACCGGGCGGGAAGGGGGTCCCCTCTCGCCGGGACCTGTGGGCGACAAGGCCCATGTCCTCCATCCCCAGCGTGGGTGGCACAGCCTCTCAGACACGGGAGCGCACCCGGGCACCGCCGGCCCCTGTCCCTGACTCTGGGCCTGCGCCAGCACCAGGCTGCGAAGCCTTCCCGCCACACAGCCACACAAGCTTCCACTGCTGCTGGCGCTGCAGCCACTGCCAGGCTCTGTCTGTAGGGCCGAGAAGCCGTGACAGCCCATGTGGCCCCTCGCGAACATGTGCACATCCCCTCCCCCTGGCGGACCTGTGGGCACCTGAAGGCCGGCCGAGGCACCCTGGAGCCCAAGAGTGCAGGTACATCGGAGTCCCCAGAACCAGAGCTAACGAAGACCAAAGAACCAGACGCCAGGCGCCCACCCTGGGAGGGCCTAGGAACAGCACGCCACCCGAGACCAGCACTGGCCTCACAGGTCTGCCCCAGGCAAGACCCACGACTGCCGAGCGCAGGCGGTGGCCTTTCAGGTCAGGCTGCCGCCAACTCTGACCCAGGGACCGAGGGCCCTGGGGACAGCGGGGCTGCGGCCGAGGCAGAAAGGACATCAACTTCTCCCCGAAGGTTTTAATTTCTTTTATTTCAAAACCTCAAAGCCATTTTTTGAGGGCCCCCGAGTGGAACTGCAGCCTGATGCCCCTGTGCGCACCGACAACGATAAGGCTGGCTCATGCCCGGGGCCGTGACAGACATGCGGCCCCGGCTCCGACCTGACTGGCTGTGCTGTCTGAGAGCAGCCTGTGTCCACCACTGAGGACACAGATTCCCCGCCTCTCCTGCAGTCAGAGCCTCCAGCCTAAAGCGCACCCCCGCGGGCAGCCTGTGGCATGGACCCAGAGCACTGTGCAGGGCAAGCACAGGTGGTAAATGGGGAACCCCGGAGCCTCGCCCTCGCCCACATCACAGCCCCAAGCTACACACTCGTGGTTTCCGAGCGGCTCCCAGAAATACCACCAGGGCCACAGGGCAGCCCTCTGGCCACGAAAAGGACAAGGCCCTGCTAAAACCCCACAGCAAGAGGCCGCGACCCGCGGCAAAGGCAGTTCTCCCTCCGGACGAGTGAACGGGGTGCTGCCAACTAAAGCCCCGGACAGCACTCTTCTCCTGGGACTGTTCCCGGACCCCTCCGATGTCGCTCGCGACTACACGGTCCCCTCACCAACTGTTTCTGGCCACGGATTCACGAAAAACTAGGACATTGTAGGCGGAATCATCTCTGCGTGTGAGTGTGTAAAACATACTGGAAACGTCGGCTGCCGATAGAACGGTCTTTCTGTTACAGAAGCGGTTAAGTGAAAACATATTCTTATTTTCGAAAGTAGCTGTAACAAGCCTAGCCGTGACTTCTGAGGCTCGCTGCATGGCCTGCAGGTATTTATCCCAGAGTCACAGGCCCAGGGGTGGCGGCTGGCAGGAAGCTGGGGGGTCCCAACAAGACCACAACTGCAAGGAAGGCGGTGGGAAGGCCAGTCTCCAACAGCACCTGGATTTAAGCCAGACATGAAAACTCCCCCATCTCTTATTCTGCAATCAGCCAGGGCCAGGCGGCCCGCCTCCCGGCTCTGCAAGCAGGGAGAAGGGATTGGATAAGGTGGGAAGGGGACAGCCATGGGGTCAGAGCAGAACTGGCCTGTGACCTTGACTCCAGGACACTCAGGAGCAGCCCTGGATTTTCTATCCTTCCAAATGAGGAGGTGGGAGGGAGTGCTGAAGTCCGTCAGCACCTGCGCAGACATCACCCCTTACCTTCTCTCCAGGTCTGGGTGCCCGCTGAAACTTCTCATAATCTTTCTTGGTCTCCAGAATCTTTTTCACAAGTCCTCCTGTGGAGAATCAGTGGTTTTATGTTATTCTCTGGGGAGCTATTCTACTCTAAATGGGTGAAGGGGTGTTCTTCCTCTTTCTATAATGAGCACAGCTTCAAATAATCTTTTTTTGATATAAGGGTCTACTGCAGACTGATACAGTGGGTGATGGAAATTAACCATAAAACTTTAGAGTGTTTCAAAGAAATCAGCTCAAAGGTTTAAAAAAAAAGAGAGAGAGAGAAACTTTGGAAATAGAAAACAGTTAGGAGGACATGTAGATTAACACTCCAGATGATAACCTTTTGTCAAACAGGTGTGGCAAATACTAAACTGTTTCTAAGCACAAATACTCCTTCAATATGAGGTCAAGAATCTTCAACTTCCTTAAAAAAAAAATAAAGAAAAAGGAAGAAAAGAATTGCCTATGGGGTAAATATCACACAAAACACTGTCTTTAGCATACGGCCTCACCCAAACGCGCAGCCACGGGAAAGTGGCTGTGGACGCTCGAGACGGCGTCCTGGGAGCTGTGGTGAGGGCTCGTCCACACTGCCAAGGGACAAATGTCAGCACGTGCTGCCCAGTCACAAGAGCAAGAGGGACACACGGAGATCCTGCCAAATACACACGCACGTGCCCGCGCACCACACACACGTATTAACCTGTAATTTTTAAAATCAAAGTGTAAGCCCTATTCCTTACTGTCACCTACAGGGGGAGTGAGAGGACAGGGTGGAAGCCCCAATCTCAGAATATGCCTCCTCTGTTACATTTGACCTTGGAAATAGGACTATTTTACAGAAATAAAACAAAATTATATCCGATTTTTCAATGCCTAAAAACTGAAACCAAAATGGAACCCATAAACCTAAGAACATCACGCCGGCAAGCAGAGCCTGACAGAATTGTTCTGGAAACTTACAACAGAGTAACTGGCTGTCCATCCCTGAAGGGACATACCTGAGGACAGACAGACCCCGACAGAAACCCTACACGGTCTCAGGCAAACTGATGCCGCTGATAGCTGGTGGTGTTCCAAAGGTGCTGCATGTGCATGCCAGCCCCAAGGTGAAGCAGACAGATGCCCAACACTGGGAGCCAGGATTTTTGGCATGAGATAGACATGCATGTAAAAATCAAAAATTTAGAAGAGAGTCTAGAATAGAAAAGCTGCCCTGGAAATATCAGTATGAGCTTGGATACACGTTCTCATTGTTTTTTAAAAAAGGTAAGAATACCCTTAAGAACAACAACCCAGAAGTAAAGTACAGTCAGGCATCTTGGAGAAACGGAGGGCTCCAGCCTTGGGGCAGGAAATACACCACATGAGCCTGGAACATCTGCTCCTCTCAGAAAACAAGGAAGCTGCAAAGTCTCCCAGGCTGTGTCAACAGGCCCCAGAGAACGGCTCCAACAGGCACCCACCAATTACACACTGGGCAATCTGAACATCAGTGAGAACCGATTTGGTATGAAATGAGGCCCCTCAAATGCGTTAGAGGTAAACCCATGATTTCACACAGGTATCACACAGCTATCAGCAACCACCACCCCACACGACCTCTTCAGTCACAGTGATGGTGCCAGGGCACAGATTGACTCTGAGGAAAACCCTCCTCCTAGGGGCTGTACTACTAGGGTCAGAGGCTGGGCAGGGTGGGGAGCCCTGCACCACGGCATCCTCCAGCCAAACCCTGAAGAAGGGTGGGTAGATGAGAACATTACCATCCTGTAGCCCTTAATGATCCAGGCTAACATCACAAGCGGACATTAGGAAAAACCAACACCACCTACCAGTATTCTTGCTCAAAACCTGCATCTGACCAAGTCTCTGGGACCAAGTTACAAGAATAAAAGAATATGTAAAAAACCATACCATGGGCATGTAATAAGCAACACTCAACTATGGGAAACCCAAAGGACAACCAACCAGTTTCCTCCGCAAATACATTACAAGGGAAAGGGGAGGGAGGGAACGTACAGGTTAAGAGAGACCCAAGAGTTCAATCGAATCCAATGGTAGGGCTTTATTTGGATTCTGACTCAAACTAGAAAAAAATATACAAAATAACTAGAAAAACTGTGATGATATCAGGAAAGTATTTCATTTTTATGGTTTTTTGGAAGAGAGCCCTTATCTTTTAGAGCTACATCTAACATGTTAACCGAAAACACGATATTCTCTAGGACTTGAGAACAGTCTAAGGGAGCAGGGGTCTGCAGCAGCCAGAGGCTTACAGAAAACATGAGCCAACCACCATGGACACCATGTGACGGGTACAGGGGGTTTGTTGGACTACTCTCTCTGCTTCTGCAAATTTTAGGAATCAAAGAAGATACTTGGGAAAAGGAAAAGTAGTATTACAAATACTGTCGATTTGGGAACTACCCCAGAGGTCTAACCCTTAATCTAAGTGCATGCCACGTCAGAAGCCACTGACAGACAGCCCCAGGGTCCCAGGGCCCAGCGCCCATCGGCTCTGAGACTAAACCCACAACAGAGGAGGAGCCCATCCGTGCCCTGGTATACCACCAGGACCAATGCGGGGTGCATGGAGCTCCCGTGTGCAAGACCCTCCCGCAGCCACACCTGCCACTCACCGTGCTTCTCCTCGGCCTCCATGTCTACCGCAGGCACCTGGGCAGGAAAGCAAGAAGGAAAAAGCTGATTCTTGAAATGCTGCTTCCATGAATCTCCTCAAGGCAATGACACAGTTAAAGAAGGCAGAAATCTGACTGAAAAATCAGAGGCTCGTTTTGTCTACATAAACCTCAATGCTGGATCAGGAGTTCCAAGGCCGTCCAGGGGCAACGCCAGAAACCGATGCTCCCATTAACTCACCACTTCCAGCTCCGACGTCTCAGGGAGCTGGGGGGCTGCCTCCACCACAAACTGACTGTCGTCCTCATTGTCAGAGTTCTGCGCGTCTATGATCACACTGGCAACAATTTTCCCACTTCCGGTCCTAAAGAGAAAAAGGAATCAGGTTACATCGGAAGAGCTGCTGATCGCTCATCCGCATCAATCCCCTGCATCCCAGGCTCTGAGAGAGGAGTTTAACCACTTCCTGCCTACCTGCCTCTAGAATGTCACAAAACCCAGGTGTGGAAGCCAAGTGCAGACCCATGCCTGGGTCCCTATGAGAGTTGCCCTCTGTGCTCCCTCCACCCCTGCCCCCTCCCTACACCCCTACCTCCGGAGGGCCCTCGGAGCCTCACTCCTCCTCTGGCTGCACTCTCTGGACACCAGCCCTCCACCTGTAGCCCCCCACCCAGGGAGCCCTAGTCTTCCAAGTCACAAACATCAAGGCAGGGGTGGCGATGCGGCCCCAGACCCCTGCCCCAACACAGAGGCCTCCTGGCTGCAACTCCCTGCCCAGCACCTCCTCTCCACCAAGACCTACCATCACTCTGGGCCAGTCCAATACCCAACTGCCTGGCCCGTAGGCCTGGACCTGTCCTCGCAGGTGACTATGTCCATCCAAGAGCTCTCTTAGACCTCCTACAGCCACCCGCTGGAACAGCCCTACCTACTGTCACCCCACTGGAGGCCACAGTCAGCTGCCCTCTGCTTAGGCCCTCACACTGACCACACTGGGCCCAGGTCACAAGGCTCCAAACCCAGACACTCACCACCAGCTCCCCATCAGTCCCACCTGCCTTCACTTCTCACGTAGCAGCATAACACAACCCTGCTTTACTGAGTGCCCTTAACCCCCCCTGCCCTACGATCACTGGTTCACACACAGACACACCCTCTCCCTTGCTTTAGGGCAACACACAAGGTCAGCAGGAAACCCGTGCACTTGGGGATGAGCTCTCAAAACAGTACACATTTCCCCCAAAACACCCTCAGCTTCTTCACTGGGCCCTTCAACCCTCACAGGCAATGTCCTGCCTCCACCAGGGCCAGCCTCACCACACCCCATATCTCCCCCAAGCCCTGCACCCCTCGAGCCCCTCCCACACACCATCCCTCATCAGCAAGCCCTCTCCATTCTCCCCTGCCTCAAGCAGCAGCCTCCCATGGCCAGGCCCAGAGGGAAAGCAGCTTTCTTGTGCTTACTGTGTCTTCCAGATCACTTTCTCTCAAGTCTGCCAACTCTGACTCCACACCACAGCCTCTCTGGCCCTCAACCCCTGGTCACCGCTGCCAGCTGCCAGGCAGCCCCCCTGCACTCCTGGCTCCCTGCCAACACTGACCACGTCTTTACTGAGAAATAGCCCTTCCCAAAGCCTGGCTCTAGGGTCCCCAACCCCTCCTGCCACCATCCTGCTTCCATCACCCAGCTACACATCCAGGGTCACCCTTGGGCACCACCACTGGCAGCATGCCCCCAACCTCAAATCTGAGCACCCCACTCTCGGACCACCATCGCCCACATTTCTGTCTCTGTGCCCGCCCAGAGCCCGCACGGCACCTGCCCACGGCGGGAGAACAAAGTCCACGGCAGCACTTCATACCACGTGCACCCGGAGGCAGCCCAGCTTCCTGCTTCGCCCGCTGTGCCACAGACCTCTGGGCCTACGGTCCTCTGGGTGGGGCTGCCAGTCTGAGGGGGACTTTCGACCTCACCCCTGCCCCACTGCCCAGCTAGATGCCAAGAACATTCCCTCTAGGCCCTCCCAGTCCTGACACTACTCGGGATCTCCAGACATAGCCCCACAGAAGGCTGGGGTTTGGGGGAGGATATGACCCCAGATGAGGACCCTCTGCTCAGTTCGACACCCGATCTCTGGGAGCGGGGCTCTGGGCCTCCCTGCCCAGACTTGCTCTGGGTTCACAAGACAAGTGGAGCTCTGGAGTGGGGGAGAGGGAGGTCAGCTTCTAGAACTCACCGACATGCACCATCCCCTCCAAAGCCAGTCCCTCTGTGTCCCCCCACCCCTTGGGGACGATGTTCCAACAATCCTCCCACCCCCGTAGCTCCTACCTCCCCAGTTCCCCATCTCCTCAGATCGGTCCCATCACCAGAAACATGTACCAGTCTCCTCATCTCAGAAACAGTAATGTTCCCACAACCTCTCCCTCCTGCCATCTCCTGCATCAATCCTTCATGTCCCTTATAATGCAGCCACACATGTCCCCAGTTCCTGCCTCCTGCTCCATTTCAAACCATGCCGGTGTGGCCTGCTTTATTTTTCTATTTTTATGTTTTGATTTCTTGTACTTTCCTCTAAAGATCACACTACATCCACAGGGATAGTTGTAACACTTAGAGAACCCTGTCTGTGGCTTGCTTTCACATACTTTATGACTTTCTGACCTTTTATCTTATATTTGTGTGCAATTAAGCCTTGAAATCTATTTTTTCCTATTTTCCCCCTTGTTGCTTCTATGCTTAGAAAATACTCCCCCCGGCCCCCAACTTCTCTCAAAGAATAACTCCCCACACCCCCACCCCATGCTATAAATATAAAGCACATTTTCTCTTCAGCTAACTAAAGTGTGTGGCCGGGGGCATGTGGCCTGACCCGGCTTACCCACAGGTCAGGTGGCAGTGGCCCCGCCCCGCCCCCACCCCACCCAGCACATTCCCCCCACAGAGGTCTCACCTGTCTGGTGTCAGCGCCTCCACGCTGTCCTGGCGCTTCACACGGGGGGGTGCTGGCCTCGCACTCCCAGGCCGAGGTATTCTTCTAAGCCCAAACACGGGAAAACCAAAGAGGGGACATGACACACTTGGACATTTCAAAGTGGACAACAAGAAACAAAGATCAGGGCGCCTGGGTGGCTCAGTGGGTTAAGCCGCTGCCTTCGGCTCAGGTCATGATCTCAGGGTCCTGGGATCGAGTCCCGCATCGGGCTCTCTGCTCAGCAGGGAGCCTGCTTCCCTCTCTCTCTCTCTCTGCCTGCCTCTCTGTCTACTTGTGATCTCTCTCTGTCAAATAATAAATAAAATTTAAAAAAAAAAAAAAAAAAAGAAACAAAGATCAACAACACCCCTAATTTCCCGCCATCAACATGCTCGTCAGGACACAGTCTGCAGAATGTTAAGAACATCCCGTTAATCTGACAGGTTTAAAAGTGTCCGTCTCTTAATCTTATGTTTTCATTAATTTTAAGGCTCAAAAGGAATCATGGAACTCTCAGTAATCAAATACCATAATTATGAATTTCCCTAAATCTTTATAATGTCCTATGTGTAGTAACTTCTATCCAATACAGGAAAACTAAATTAAATGGTTTCTGCTTTCTTTGCACAAGTATTTCCTCATAACTGAGCTCAAGAACCAAACGAACTGTGGGAGGTGCAGAAAGAAGCGGGCGGCGGCGGCCTGGGATTGGACAGGGCCACAGACCTGAGATTGGCTGGAAGCTCGCCCGGCAGCTCGGAGCTCTCGGACACCTCAGGCTTCTCTGGGCCAGAAGGTCCAACTTCTCCTTCTGAAGCGTGACAATCCAGTGAGCAGTTCACGAAGGAAGAAACACAAACAGGTAATCAATACTTGAAAAGACAGCAATCCAATAATCGCAAATATACATGAGCTTTATTCATCTCTTATTTTCATCAACATAAAACAAACGATTCATGTCTAGATTCGGTGAAGATCTGGGGAGACAGGTGCACTCAAACCCTGGAAATACAAACTGGTTCAATTTCTTAAGAAATGGAATTCAAAAGGTAGCTTCATCCAGTCAAGCAATTTTACATAAAGGAAATACAACCTGACAGGGACGGACGCGTGTGATCTGTGTGTCCAGATATTCCCCACCCACCACCTGTGTTAGTGTCAACGGTGGGTCACGTCAGCAGACCCTCAGCATAAAACAGTGTCACCGTCCTAACACGTAACTGAGGATAGTAACGTATTTAATCACACACACACACACACACACACACACACACACACACACACAATGGGGGTTCTAGATGGACATTCATTTAGTTTAGAAATAGTGTTTTTCGCTTCCTTCTTGATATCTTTCTGCATTTAAAAAACTCTACTTTGGGTATGTGCCAAATGGTTTTTATAATCTGAGTAAAGCTTTCTTCATTTTAATAAAAAGATTAAATCAGTAAGTAACAACCTCTAATTACTAAGGCACTTAAATTTACTCCTGCATTTTAAGTAAAAGGGCTTTGTATTTTAGAAAATAGGATAAATCAGACTTTGAATTTAGAAATACACATTTTATTCTCGGAAGTGAAATACATTCTTCTGGAACATAAGATACATAAATTAAATCTTAAAGTAATATAGTTATGTTTCCCTAATTTACTTCACTAACTCAGTGTGTAAAACAAATCTGAGAGTACATGTTAGTATCTACACACACACGCAAAATTTATATCAAACACCCAGTTCAGGCCGTTCCTCACCTGCATCACTAGGAGAGTCACCTGCAAAAAAAAAAATAATAATAATAATAATAATAAGGTACATCAGAAAAACGACTTCCATGTTGGTAAAGCTCAGTGCATTAAATAGCAGGACTATGGAAAAACATAGACCAAGTAACAGTGGACACCTGTCAGGGAACACAGAGCCATTCCTAGTGTCCCACTGCCAAGACTTTATTTTCAAAAATCGAAAGAGAACAAAGCAAACTATGAATTCTAAAATGCTATTAATGAAGAGAGGCAACAGGAGTATGAAGAGAGTGGGTCACAGACACAAATGAGAGAGATTTGAGATGAGGCAACAGCTGGTAAGCCAGAGAGCGTGAGGGACGAAAAGGTGTGACGCCCCTTCCATGACGGGGTGACAGCGAGCAGGACCCTCCCTCCCGAACTCATCAGCAAGGGTTCTTCCATCAGCTCCTGAACGAGGACATCTCTCCGGCTCCCCATGGCCTACTTCCTTCTTCAAGTGCTGTGTTTTGGGGACAAATGGGACCTATGTGGCCACAAGGACATGGGCGGGAGAACACTGTGGGGGGGTGGACTTAAAGTCCCAAGAGGATACTCTGCATGACACACTTGAGACACAGGACCAAACTCTCAGACGCACCAGGATGGCACAGGTCCAAGTCGGAGCCAAGGACCCCGGAGAGCTGCCAGGCATCCCCCATTAATACCAAGCCCACCTCCACACAGGGACCTATCCCACACACGAGGACCAGGTCCAGGGCTTCCAAGGGCACACGGCACTCCTCAGACACCACAGTCTGCCTGCTGAGGTGAACTTCAGATCTCTGTTTACTAGTCAAAGACTGACACAAATGGTGCCCTAAAGAAGGTGACTCTAGGAAGAAGAGCCAGGCCTATGGGGCAAGGGGAAGTGGGAGGCCCTGCAGGACCTCTGGGTATGGGACACAGGAACCTCTCTCTGCACAGAGCAGAGAACGGCCCAGCACCCACAGAGCCTCACAAACTGTGGGTTAGGAGGGGCCTGGAAATCACGTTTCCAGACAGCGCCACTATAAGGATGGGGTGACAGCAATGCAGGACCGGAGCTCGACCCAGGGACAGCACTGCCCCAGGGCCAGAGCAGCTAGCGGCAGAGTCTCTCCTCAACGCCACGCCATCTGGAGTATGCTTGACAGAGCCCAGCATCTGGCAGCCAATGTGCAGCATGGGGCCCTGGATTCCAGACCCTGGGGCTCTCTTCCAAGCTCCTACCATCAGTGTTGGGGGTGCAACTGCTGGATCTCAGGGCCGACACCCAAAGGGAGAGTGTGCACAGCGAACCCCCCTGTCACAGATGGGGTCTCCCACCCTTTGGCAAGGGTTCCTGCCCCCCAGACACTTGGGTCTTCTCTGGACCCTTCACCAGCGCAGCCCCTTTCCAGCAAGGCATGCAGGCCCTCTTTCCCTCGCCCTGGAAACCACACCCCGGGCCACTCATGGGCCATCTCTGGCACAACCCTTGCCCGAAGTACCCCGGAACCTGCCCGTCCCCCCACCCCCCACTCCAGCCCAGACTGCTAAGGCTCCTAAACTAACGTAATGCATATGGGACAAAGCCTCCTGCGGGGGCTTTCCCTGCCCCCACGCCGGGGCGACATCCCTTGAGCCCTGGGCATCCTCCAGGCCGGCTCTGCCCACCAAGGCAAACACACCGACAGGCGCTGGCCCCGGGGTGCCACACGCTGGGCCACCAGGTGCCAGCACCCACCACGACTGCCAGGAGCTCCGGGGCCCAAATGTGTCCTTTCCCACAGTGTTAAGTGCTGGGAACGACGGTGCCAAAAGCAGAATGTCACCTAGGCACAGCTGAAGAAACCCAGAGAATGTTACAGAGAGAAACACTGGGTCAGGACAGTGTTTCCAGCTGCTTCAGAGTCCTCCCTGAACAAAAAATGTGGGGGTGCATGGCTCGGCCCGTGGGCCTCCCCAGAACAGACCCTGAAGCTTGTATCCGGGGCCTCTCACCACTGCCGGGCTTCACACGCGACCTCCACGAGAGCACCGGGGACCTGGGAGGGGCCAGGGCCACCACAGCAGGACTGCATGCCCTACCCTGGCTGACGTAAGACGGCACAAGGGGGTCATTTGCCACATCTGGTCCTGCTGGTGTGAAGAACCAGGGCCTGGACCCCAAGCAGGTCAGAGAGCCGCGGGGACCCCATGGCAGAGAGGTGCCCCCAGCGTGCAAGTGCAGTGGCTTGGTCTCCCTCACCAGGAAAGGGACAAAGACAGGGTGTCCTTCTTACCTTTCTGCTTCACTGCTGGCTCAGGCTCAACATTCTCCCGCCACACACTCGCTGAGTTATCATCTGAAACACTAGCTGAGTTAGTATTAGCTTCTTTTGTTCCTGACAGAAAACAGTGTAAAACGAATCAGGACAATGTCCACGGCAGGCTGGTCCTCTAGGCTTCGACAGCAGAGAGCACGCCTACTTGTCCACGCCTTCCCGCACTGCGAGCTTACACACACCTGACCAAAGAATGTTCCTCCCAGCTGCGGCTGTGGGATCAGAAGAGGAAAGGGGTGCCCGGAACAGGAGAAGGCCCCAGGCCCATCCAGCCCAGGAGCAGGCTGGGATCCCCAAAGCCAAAGCAAACTGGTCCCTCTGCCCCCATTTCCAGAAACTTCCTGACGCTACCTGTCTCCATCCACCACCTCCTCACTGCAGCCAGGCCCAGATGAGAAGCTGCAGATAAGTGACAACTGTAGCAAAGCAGGAGGGAAAGAAAGATTCCTGTGCTACAGTCCACAGTCCTAGACACACTGAAAGCTCCCAAGCCCCCGTGAACTACTAACTAATGTATCAATGTCTATAAAAATCAAAAAAATATCAAATACCAGAGAAATAATACCTTTTTTATATTAAAAATAAAGGAGGGAGCAGGGAGGTGCTAGAGGAAAAGATTTTTAATGTGGTAGGACTCAGGGTAGAAAACTAATCCACCACTAAAGGACCCCCACTCTAAAATTAAACAAGGAGAAGACAAAAATAAAATTCAAAAAATGTTCCCTTTCCTAAAATACAATCTTATAATTTCTTAAAAGTATTCAAATAAACAGTTTATATCAGAATCAACCTATCATTATCAAAGAACTGGATTTATGTAACGGAACTTCACAGAGTAGATGACATAATTTTCTAAGGAAATTTTTTTCAATCTATAAAAATGATCATTTAAACAGTGATTCAAGTAATTATTTATGAAATCTAAGGTAGCCAAAGAATCAATATGAAATAAATTCTAAAACAAATGTAAAAATAAACATAAGCTTGGCAACTGTATTTTAAAAGAAAACATGCAAGAATTTTAGATTGTTACATTTTATTTGCAAGTGTCAAAAATTTCCTACACCGTTCAAAGCCTACCAGCACAATAACTAACTTCCAAATGCAACATCTTCTGTCCAAAGCCCAAGGGGACTGATGACACTCTGCACCATTCCTCTCTTCAAAGGTCTAGTGGCACTTTTTTTTTGAGAGGCCTATGATGGTCGTTTTAACGTCTTTCCTAATATTCTTAAGTAAGCTTTACTAAAACTCCAATTCACACAGAGAAACAGACTATACGTTCTGATAATACCACAATCAATTCCTAATCAGAGGACAGATTAACCAGTCTGCAAAATAACACCTTTAAAGAAAAGAAATAACACACCCTTAAAAAATAAAAATTATTATGAACTGGCAAAAAAATCTGTTGTCCAAATCACCAGGAATGAATGAACCCATCCGGGAAGGGTGTGGTCCCAGCGTCCTGATTTCCTAGCTTGAGCGGGCTCCTCGCCTCTTCAGAGCCTCGGTTTCCCCCAGTTTATGGCGCTCTGGTAATGGGACCGTGTGCTTTATAAAGCAGGGAGCACTGTGCCTGGCCAAGCGCCTGCCTGTCAGTCATCATCCCTGAAACTCACCAGGTAGAGCCCCCCACACCGCCACAAGCCGCTTCCCACTCTGCCTGCATGCTGTGCAAATGCTCACAGCACAGGGCTGCTGAAGACATCCAAGTGTAAACACGAACAGATACCCAGGCCCTACAACAAGGAGCTCCGCCTGGCCCAGCGACCAGTGTGAGCATCCTGTTATGGGACACAGAAGCACTAGTGTAACCAGACAGAACACAAGACAAAGGCACAGCTAGCCTATGTAGGGTCAGAGCGAAGCCAGATGTTCAACCCAAAGCTAATGAGGCCTTTAGATCAAACAGAAACACGGGGAGAAGCAGGGGGAAAGGAATGTCATAAGTGAAGTGACATCACAAGGAAATGGACAAGTGTCCAGAGGGCGGAGCATTCTACAAGGCTGGCCACCTCATCTCTTTCACAGCCAGCGCGCTAGACTAAAAAAGTAAGGCGGGAGCGTACGGGGTCAGGGGACTGTGGAGATTCGACTCATTTAAAAAGTAAAAGAATAAAAAACATACAGTGTGTTCATCTTAATGGAATCCTGTTTTTTGTTTTTTGGGTTTTTTTTAAATAACACTTTGGAAACATGAAGATTTTGACACTACCGGGGTAACAGTAACCCTGCTACAGAGAACCATGTTGGGGCATGTCCCAGCACATCTCTCTTGTTTTCCGAGCTGATGCTTAAGTATTTAAAGTGTTGGGATGTTTAATAGACTTTGAAATCATTCATAAAAATACATGGCTCTAGACAACGCACATATGATGAGACATGAGAACTGCTAAATCTGTGTGAGGGGTCGGAGGGGGTTCAAAGTTCTTCCTACTCCTCTGCATTTTCATAGTAAAAACCTTTACACAACTGGACAAAATGACGTAAGTGACAGAAACCAAGCAAGGTGAAGACATGCGGACGGCACAGCGCTCCAGGAGAACCTGGACCGTCGAACGACTGTAAAAAGAACGAGGCTCATCACGCCACAAGCATTCCAAGATGGAGCAGGGAAGAAGTGGCTCATGTTTGAGAAAGAAATGGGTAATTTCCTTGTTGAGCTCTTCAGTGTCCCTGAAAGAGGAAGCGCACAAGTACTCCTGTGACGGCCCTGCGGCCACCGTCAGGCCCAGGGACAGCGGGGGCACGGTGAGGCTGGTACGCACCAGCTCAAGGTGAAGGGCAAGCAGGGGGAAAGGCTCCCAGACCAGGCCCAGCAGCACTGCACCTGGAAATCACACTCAGTGAGAAACTCCGCAGCTGTGACAATTGCCGACAAACCCCGAATCCCAAAGCCAAATGACTGGCAGCACAGGTGACCTCTGTCACTGGCATGCCAGTGACTGACAGTGACAACAGGGACCCAGGGCCCAAGGCAGTGGCAGGGAGAGGGGAGGAAGCACCAGGGGTCACAGGACCACCAGGACAGGGTGCAGGACTCCACTCTGACCACCAGATGGCACCAGGCTCCATCCGACTTTCCACCCAGAACCACGCTCCCTGAACACTGAGCGGTCAGTAGTGTCTACAAAGTGAGGGTACTTTGGTAGTCCTGGGTACTACAGTAGTAGTTAGTACTACTGTAGTCTGAGTGGCCTCTGCACTTTATTCTGGATCCACGTTACCATCCCAGGATGCGATGCCTCACCCTGACGTGGGGCTTGCAGTCACTAAATTGGGATCCACGAAGCAGATCTGCCAGGCACACATGCGACATGCCAGCCACTTTGTGGACAGACCTCACTGAGTCTCACGGCAGACGTTTAAAGAGCCACTTACCACGAGGTCACTGTGGCTCAGAGGACGTGCCATGAAGCTAGCTCGAGGTCAAGAGGTGGGCAAATGGGAGGCACAGGATCTTCCCACTGGTCTGGGATGTGGGCACATCTGCCCACATGGGCAGCACTACCCAAGCCCCCTCCTGCTGCACAGGGACCACCTGGTACTTCCCCTGCTCAGACTGGACTGGACCAGCCTGCAGCCCAGACAAGGCCCCCCGAGGAGGACTGCACAGTCCTGCACGGTGCAAGCCCGAGGTCAAGTGAGAACTCATCCTCTGCTCCCATTCGGCACCCCCAGTCCCAGTCACCCCACACTGGTCACCACACACCACTAAGGACCTACATAAACCATGAAAGGCTGACCTGCTCAGAATAAGATCAGTGGGGACCACCTCTCAAGAGGCCCACCTTTCCCTGCACCCCTGCTGAGCCCAGGGAACATGGGACAGAGCAGCTGTCTGCCCAAAAACACAGCTGCTCTCCGGGGCCCAACCTCTTAAAGGGAAAGCGTGTGCCCAGAAGATGTGCTTCCCATGATTCTAGCTACAGGCACAGAATTTTTGAAAGTCAAAAAGATACGAGTTCAGCCTAGACAAATTCTTATCTTTTCCTGGAGTCAAGATTTACACTCTTATTTTCCCCTATATGTCACTCAAGATTTTTAGTATTTCTTAAGAATTTAGTTTGACATCACGGCAAATTCTGCTCTTCATCAAGGATCAGCCCATCTGAAATCCCCAGTCCACACGTCTCACTGTTCCAGGGTGGGGATGCACGCATACCCCTTGCACCGCCTGCCACGGGGAACAACCTCCCCAGCGTGCCCTGGCAACCACCTTAAAATCCTTATTATGGGGCATTTTCTTAATACAACACAGCAGAGCAGAATGGGAAAGCTGAAGGACCATTTCTCTCTCTGACCATCTACATCACCGTGCAGAATCCCAGCAGCAAGATAAAGCAAGCATCTTTATCTAGATACGAAAGTAAGTCACACCTAGAAAGGCACGTAAGAGTTAACTAAAACTGAGTTAATCTTTCTCATATAATTTAGGAAATTAAAGCAAGTGGTGTATCAAGTCATTTCTGATCTTCACTATCCTGTGGTTAGAAGAATAAAAAAATATTCTTTTTTTTTATTGGGGCGCCTGGGTGGCTCAGTTGGTTACACCACTGCTTTCGGCTCAGGTCATGATCCCAGAGTCCCGAGATCAGGTCCTGCATCGGGCTCCCAGCTTCATGGGGAGTCTGCTTCTCCCTCTGACCTTCTCCCCTCTCATATTCTCTCTCACACTCCCTCTCTCTCTCTCTCTCTCTCTCTCTCTCTCAAATAAATAAAATCTTAAAATATATATACAATTACGTTGAGAGGTAAATATTTCATATCAAGGTGCTGAGAAATATAAACTAAAGAGTATCTTTTTCTTACCAATTTCTGAAGTCGTAGTTTCCTGATCTGCTTCATGATTTAATCCAGACACTACAGGATCTAACATTTTAGCTGAAATATTATCTTCCTTTCTTCCTGATGTAAAATAGTGACAGATTAAAACACTGCAGAGGTTTTTGCCTATGGGATGCTCTGGTCAGGATAAACGGGTTTACACCAGGCTCACACTACCTGGTCCCCTCCGGGGTCCCAGGACACGCACCTGACCGCCGCTCCTCCCTCACGGGGCTCTCTGACCAGGACCACGTGCTGGACCGCCCCTCACCATGGGTCCTGGCTGGCTCTGGGGCTCACTGTCTTGACGCTCCCCTACACTAACTTCACATGGATCTTAATGTGACAGCAGGAAACACCATCATGGAAAAACCCCCCAACTTCTTTGATTTTACCTTTAGTCACCCCAACTCCCTCCCTGAGGAGCGGGCCTCCAGCTCCACTCTTGTCTGGACACACTGCTGGGCCATGCAGTGGCGGGTGCCTCACATTCCACGTGTGAGAATTCCTGGCACTGCCCCCCAGCCCAGCAACAGGCTTCCCCCAAAGCTTTTGCACTCCAGCGAGAGCACCGCCTGGGTGCCCAGACCCCTCCATGGGTCTTCTCGCTGTGCCCTCTCCTCTAACAAGGGCCACCTAGTCACAGCGACTCCGTCATCCCTTCCATTGAGCACATCCTCAGCAGTGACGCTCAGGTCCCGGCCGTCAGTCTCACTGGGACACGAACTGCTGTCCGGCCTCTATGCCTCCACATTCTGAAAAGGGGATGCTTCTAACACCTGTCCAGTCATGCCTCAGTCCTACTTACTGTCCTCCGAAGATGTCTACTCACGCTCACTACAAAACTCTCAGCCTGCGTGGCCCAACGCCTCGGGCCTGCCTATTCCTGCAGACCCTATTGCTTTGCCTCCGCGCCCAGCCTCACTGCCAGGCCTCCTGCCCTCCAACAGGCAAGGGTGTCCCCAGCTCAGGGCCTCTGCCCCAGCCTGGACACTCACAGGTCCTCCTTCCCCCAGTCAACTCTCTGTCCAGACGTCCCCTCCCCAGAGCCTCTCCGCCTGTGCACCCGCCCCTACATTTGACATCAGAAGACTCGTTGCTAACGTGGAAGGGCACACCCTGTGGTCTCCTGATTATCTGTCCGGTCCCTCCACACTGTGCACTCAAAAGGGCAGGTCCTCCATCAATATCCGCGGAACAAAGAAGGGCAGACCCGAGTACACAATCCCACCCGTGACTGATCCATGCTAGGCTGGTGGCTGGGGTGGCCCCGCGACTCAACGGGCAACGCTCACGGCCCTTCTGCCCCAGCTCCGCTCTGGGCCCAAGCCCCACATCCAGCAGGGCACCCCCCACAGGGCTCCACCTGCTCGGTGGTCAAAGGGAAGCAAGGAGCCGACTCCCCAACAGTCGCAGCCCCCACTGGGGCCTGCATCGTCTTACCAAGCTGCTTCACGGTGTGCTCCTTCTTAGCTTTGCTGTAGGAAGAGTTATGTTCTTTTTCAGGGGAAAGACTATTTTCACTGGCTCTAGAGCCCCTTCTTCCTGATACGAAATTGCATAATGAAAGTACATATTAAGCTTAATTCATAATGCTGTACAGTATACTCATTCTTAGTACCTTATTCTGCTATAATTGCCACTTAACAACAAATCGAAAGTATTGTACTTTTGAGAAGAATGTTTTTTGGATTCTATAGAGATCCTAGAATAGCTTTAAGATTCTAAATATGTTTAACAAACAGGATACCCCACACTCCAGTAAAAGCAAGGCTGATCCTCTCGGGCCGCGGGGTGCCTCCCCCTCCTGCCAGATGCTGGACAGTCACCCAAATGCGACCCATTAAAGTGAGGCAGAAGGTCAGGGTGGAGCACGGGCTGTGCTGGGTGCAGCCGCATGGTGAGGTCTGCGCCCAGCTCGCCAGCGGGGCGAGCCATCAGCTTGTCGGCTCAGGAAGGCTAGTATCAGGAAGCCTGCAAATCTCGGTGATCATCTCTCTTAGTGGCCACAGAAAAGGAGCCCGTGGGCAACCCGCTCGCCAGCAAACTCAGATGCACATGCCAAGATACTAGAAGAGCAGACAATAGCAACTGTCCGCTTACCAAAAAACACAATTCAACAGAAGAGCTGCGGGCTACAATTGAACACAAGGCGAGGTCTGCAGTGCAGGGACCACAGTTCATGACGCTTCTACACTCCAGCAGTCAACAGAGAAATGGACAAGGAGAAGGAGATGCCACTTTGAAACCAACCAAAAACAAACTGTCATGATCCATGACAAACAGACACAGCCCCACACGTGCACAGGGAGACGCCCATACTAACTTGGGGTCAGAAATATCTAATATTCCCCAAATCCAGAAAGCGTAAGTTTAACATGGGTCTGACACAAACCTGACCAGTTTATTAGTTCTGTTTATGGGAGGGGAGATTCTTTGGCTCAATGGTTTTAAAATAATCTAGAAGAATAAACACATAAAATGGCTTCAAATTAATGATTCTGGAACACCTGGTGAGTTACTCTGAAAAAATAAATGTCACCTTATAGCATGAATTAAAATAATAAATAACTAAAAAGATTAAATACAAAAATGCATGACAAAACACAAATCTTCATCTCTCAAATCTCTGGATAAACCACCAAAAAAAAAGACTGGTCACTTCCAGTGCATAAAAATTAAACACTCAGGCAAGTCAGGAACTAACATAATGAGTAGAAATGAACTTGGGGGTGGAGGGAACACTCATGTAAAAACTGGCAGATGTTCTTAACATACAGTGAGCTTATGCAAATTAAGAATAACACTGCAAGGGCCAGCACAGCAGTGAGGAGCCCTGCAAAGGAGAGACAAGCCCGAGGAGTCAATAAAAATTACGAACACACATAAAAATACACAATTTCCCTAGGAATTCAAAAGAGCTAACACCACTCATTTTTCACCTCCCCGACTCAGCAAGCCTTGGAAGCCGTGGGAAAGGCATAGGGCAGAGGGCTCGGTCAGCGTACCCCACAGCCGACACAGCCAACGTCCCTGCCCTCTGTGCCAGGCCTCCCTGGGGAACCTGTCCCTGGAGATTGCCCGCAGAGGGAAAAGCTCATGAAAGCATCATGTACTATTCTGAAGGAGAAATTCCAACCATGGTTCTCCTGCCATGCTGCTTTAACAGTTTAGAAAAAGGGCCCCATTTCAGATATTACCACTGCTCAGAGTAACCTCACGCTTCATCTGAAAACCTGCAACAGCACTGGCCCCCGGGCAGCACTTACCTGCCCTGGACGGACCCTCCTGTCCTACGTGCTGGTTGGGCTGAACCGGTGCGACCCTCAGGCAAACCCCCGGCCAGGCCTGCTCACTTCAACCTCAGCTCTTAGGAGCACAACTCCCAGGAGAGGGGGCCTGCTGTTTTGAAATGCAGGAACATCACCTACAAGTGATCCCCCCACCCCAAGTCCTTGCTGGCCACTGAGTCAGGACTGCACTGAGCCACCACTTCCAAGACACGAGTCAACGAAACAAGGGTGACTGATAGCTATTTCTGGAAAGTTACAGTTCGATCACATCTTTTAGATCGTGACAGATCTCCAGCAAAGAGGTGGTACTCTGCCGCTGGTGTCATGCGCTCACACACGTACACATGCACGCACGTGGGTGTGTGTGTATGCATGTGAGAGAGAGAGCAAGAAAGAGAGACATATCTTCATCCTTTTCACATAGTCTTTGCTCCCCCCGATGGCAGATCTGCATTCTGACCACAGCGTGGTTTTTCTACCAGATACTATGATTAATACCCGTATTTTCAGCTCCTTATATGATAAATCCTCAGTACCTTCCACTGCATTTTTGGATCGCCGTTTTGATGCTTTCGTTGCCACTGACCTGGGCGCTCTAGTGGAAATCTCGGTCTTAAAGAAAGGAGAACAGACAGAATTAGTTGAGGCACGACACACAGTGCATCGAGATTTACTAGGCAGACGCTGCTCGAGGAAGAACAAAGAGGCAACAGGACACACCAACCACTAACTCCGCACAGCTCAGCAGCCCAGACCTGAGGGTGAACAGAGGACACTCAGGCCTCCCTTATTCTAAGTTCAGAAATCCTTCTTTCTGCAAAGCTCTCTAAAGCCCAGCAACCCGCCAACCACACTGAGTATGGTCTTACCGGATATGTTTATGAGGACCCCATCTCCCTTGCTATCTGCTCATTATTCGCATGTATCGGGACAGCTCTGGGTGCAAACACACACGTGTTCAAACCGAGCACACAGCAGCCCTAAGGTTTTGCTCAGCCTGCCATGACGCCCTCCTAACCGGCCTCCCAGCCTCTGTGCCACACCCGGTCCACCTTCCCTGCAGCTGCCTGGACACGTCCCCAGAAGTGCAAAGTGCTTTAGGGAAGTTGGCCTGAGTCGAACCTCCAGGGAGACGATCTGCTCTAGCCACAGGACATGCGCCATCAGACCTCACAGAGGCAAAACAGAACTCGGAGGGATCCCTCCGGCAGCCTAGCTGTCCCAGCCTGCCTGGAGACTGGATCCTCACCCAGACCCTCTCCCAAATGACTCCCGCATCCCTCTGTACCCCACGTCACACCCGTCAAATAAGTACATAAGGGAAGCCCAGAGCCCAGCATAGAAGTTAGGGCTCATGCAAGAGCCTGCACCACATCCCCCCCACCCCAGGGTCCCCACAGACTAGAGGAGACCATAGCATGATGTCACCACGTCAACGGTGCTTGTCTCGTTCAGGTTCATGTCTCTGGAAGTTATTCTTCAAAGTTTACCTCTGTCTCAGCTTTGGAGTCTTTCAAAGATCCATCTGGCATCTTTTTGGACACCTCCCCTGAGCTCGAGGACTGTTAAGAAAAACTTTCATCATATTCTTAGAATGACTCAAATCTGTGACACCTAAAACCACATCGAGGTGCAAGATGTTTCTTGCTGAGCAGCAGTAAGAGCACCCTTCCCTTACAAGCATCCGTCCCCCTCCAGGCCTGAGCGTCCGCAGCTGGTATGCGGCCTGCTTCTGCAAGGGCCGTCCGGATCACTCCCAGGGGGGCAGGCCAGGGTCAAGGGGGTTGGGGCAGCACCTCCCAGGAAACTCTGGGACAGCGGGACCCGTGGGATGCCCACGCCAGGCCAAATCTCTTGGACACGCCCCCGTAAAACAGGTGGAAATCTGGAAACAGGGGAAGGAGTGAACAAGAGAAACTGCCAGCCACCAGGAAACACAGCCACAGCTCATTATGGGGCGGGGGGAGGGGGCAACTTTCCAACAGAGGGTTTTTGTCAAGCAAAAGCTTCAGACTCTCCATCAGGAAATATTCCCAAAGGGAAGTACAGGGCACCCACAAGCCCCAGCTCAGAGCCACAGTCAAGTCTCTGACCAACACGTCCTGACGTAAGGCCTAGAAGAGACTAGGCCGCGGACCCTGTGCCCGGTGGAGACTGAAAAACAAGGGATGACCGTCAAGCTCAACGATGGTTCTGAAACTTCCTGCTGGAGGCACCAGGCTCTGCGCAGCCCAGCCTGCTGTCCCCTTAGGGTGAGGGGCACCGCACCACCAGCCAGACAGCTGGTCCTTTACCACAGGAGTCATGAGTGCTGCACAGGCCCCGCCCCTCCCCAAGCTGCTGACCTTGAATCTGTCCAGACCTCCACTCCCTCCTTCCTGGCAGCTGGAGACCAAGAGACTTTCACACAACCCTCCAGAGACACTCTGTAACACACTGTCCCCATGAGAACAGCCATGTGCAGGGCCAGCCCCTAACAGAGACCTGAACCACCTATAATGAACCCAAAAGTAACTTGCACATTTAGAAAACACGGCAACCGAACAAAATTTCTGGCTAACCACAATTTACCTGAAAATTTAATTAAGCAAAAATTACAGTAATCGGAGATCTTGTATGTATCTGCTGGCACCCACAAGACCTAGAGAGGAGCCCTGAGGCTCTGTACATTAAGCCACGCCCAGGAGCACATACACAACCAAGGCAGCTTGGAAGGACTGCTCCTGTAGCTACAGGGTGGGCCCCCCATCTTCAAAAAGCACCCAGACGCACACATGCAGCCAGAGGCTCAGAGCCCCTGCAAAACTGGTGTCAGTCTGGGTTTCTACTGGGAATGCCTGAGTGGCATCATTTTACCGTAGCGCTGGAGAGAAGCAGAGTCCCCATCGCACTGCGACAAAGATAGGAAACACCTTTGAGAATAACACAAACTCTGTCTTAAAGACAAAGGTTTTCAAGCAGGACTTTACCTTTTTCTCGGGTTTGTCATGCTCTCTGCTCTTCTCCCTGTCAGGGTCCCTGGAGCGCTCCCCATCCTTCAGCTTCCGCCTGTCCCTGTCCCTGTCCCTGTCCCGGGCCTTGTCTCGCTCACGCTCTCTCTCCCGGTCTTTCCACCTCTCTTTCTCCTTTCCTCCCTCATTCCTTCTCTCTCTCTCATGGTCCAGATCTTTGTCGCGGTCTCTGTTGCCTCGGTCTCTGTCCTGCTTGGCCCGGTTTCTGGCTCGTTCTCTCTCCCCATCCCGGTGCTTGTCTCGTTCAGGATCTTTATGTCTCTCACGGTCGTTCTCCTTCGTCTTCTCCTTCTCTTTGTCCTTCTCTCTTGCTTTGCTTTCTTCCTTCACTTCTTCTTTCTGTTTCCGATCTCTGCTTGTACTCCTCTCATTTATTTCAGAGTTCCTTTTATCCTGAAAAGAAGGTCAAACAACAATATCACTTATAAATGTCTTTACCTGAACTCTAGAAAGACTCATTATTTTCAAATATGTGCAACCTGCATCTCACCTCTTTATCTTTATGAACTCTGGGCTCTTCTTCTTGTGCATTCTTATTGTCCAATTCCTGAGATTTTGACATCAGTGAGGACCTTCCCTTCAGATCCCCCTTCTCTCCAGCTAACACTCTCTTCACTGCCTCATCGCTGGAGAGCTTGTGGTCCAAATGGGAGGAAATGGAACACAAGGTGAAAACGAGATCAGCACAAGAGACTAATGCAAGTGTCCACATTCGTGGACAGTTCACTAAACACGTTAAACATGTGGATGTGAAAGTCAAATGATAAGCTACTAGAAGGAAATGCTGTTATCAGTCACCAAGTATACCACTCCAGACATGACCAGAAGAGTTGACCCAAGCTAAGCGAATCCCACTTCAACCCCCCCAAACTGGCTCAAGTGTAGACATGCATGTCATTGGAGGACAACACGGCTACCGCGCATGACTCCACAGATGCCACATGGTTCCCACAGGATCGCAAAGGCCCAGCACTGAAAGGGTCTCCCGGAATGATCTGACTCAAGCTCGACTGAACCCCAAAACCTTCCCACGGCCTCCCTGACTCCACGCAGAAGCTTCCAACACCTCCGGGCAGGCATCCCTCTCACTGACATGCTCACTCGCTCCCCAAGGATACACGGAGCGACCATCACACCAGGCACCAGATGTCATGCTGAGGACACACTGGGTTTCGGAGGAGAGGACAGAGGCAGCAGCTAAACAGCAGTGTGCCTACCCAGCCTGGGAGAGAGGAAAGGCCAGGGCTCCAGGAAACAACCTATCCACCACCACAGCCAGACGAAGAAACGAAAGGCCTGACCAAGGCCAGGGACCTCAGCGTCCAGGCGTGGATGTGGGAGCTGAGAGAGGAGGGGAGGGAGTAGCAGCAGCTCAAGGACCCTAGTGAGCCAGGTCACAGAGCTGGCTGTGCCCACAGGCAACAGGAAGCTGGCAAAGGATTAAGCAGGGAATATGGAAGTCAAAAGTGTTTTGAAAAAGAAGTAACAGGAAGGACACAGGGGTGGGGACTGGGGACAAAGTCAGGGCACGGGCGAAATCAGTTGTGTGCCTCCGAACCTGAGATCTTGACGCAGATCAGGGTGAGACGCACTGGAGGCCTCCTTGATGCCACCAGCTCCCATCCCCATCCCCACCCCCACCCCTGCAATGCAGGCTGAAACCCACCCTCTTGCCTATTTTGGAAACGTGGAAGGTTAGCCCCAGCCCACAACCCATCAGGTACATGAAGGGCCGGATTAGCTCTGTCCTCCGACTTAGATCCCACAAAGAAGAAGGCCCTGGAGATGCCCAGCTGGCATTGCCAAGCCGAGATGCCCTCTGGTGTCCCTAGTAAGCATGGCCTGGGCTGGATCTAAGCAGAGAGGCCAAGTCTCCAACCCACAATGAGGATCTCAGGAAGTAGCGAATCAGTCCCTATGTAGTGACACCGGCTTTCTCTGAAGGAAGCGCAGCTCTGCTGTTAGTAGCCAGAAGGGAGAGGATCGGAAAAACAGAGGGCAGAGGGGAGAGAAAAGAGAGGAAGGAAGGAATGGAAGGAAAGAAGCAGACACCAGAGGCTGCAAAGGCAGACAGAGTTCAGGGCCATGCTATAAGCCCCGAGGAAGCAGCCCAGCAAGTCATCCAGCCCCCAGCCCCTGCCCTGGAAGGAGGCTCTAAAGGAGAAAGCCGGCAGGGCTTGGCCGCTGGGCACGCCACCCCGACCCCAAGAGCCAGTGTCCCTGAAGTTCCCTCATTCATACTTAGCACCTGAAGAACCTGGTATGGCAGACCTTTGTTTCACTGTATAGTTTTGACTCAGTCCTCCCGGAACTCTGAGGCTCCAAAGCACTGCACTTGGCAGACACCACCCAGGGCTCCCTCCTGAGACCCTGCCCCCGGCCCTGCGGGCACCTGTCACCCCGCCTTGTCTCTCAGGACTGCTGCATCTGCGCTCCGGCCCCTCCGCGTTACCTTGCTGAGGCAGCACCTGCCGATTCTCTGCAGCAGCTCGTTTGTTCTTTCAGGCTCGTGCCCGGCCACGATCCGCGCTGGCTTTGCTGACAGTGGCTCTCCCGAAACCATCACCACCACGTCTATGGCCTTCTGAAGGAAGCTAATTTTTGCATCTTTATCCTGAAAGATTTCCATTTAAAATGCAAATGAAAAGCCCATCCAAGAAAGTCTCCATCATTTTCAGTTTGCTAAACAGGCACACTTACTATTTAAAGCAGGTCAGATATGGAAATATTCACTCTTCGTAACAAAAGAAAAACAAATAAAGCATTTAGTTTGAGGTGGGAGGCTAGCAGGGACCTTTAAAACACTAGTTCCCTTTCTCAGTGGATAAAATTAGCAGGATATGCAGCTGTCAAGAATAAGAAAATGAAATGAGAAAGAGTACAGCACAATTCACGAATTAATCGACCTTGTATTTCAACACCCATCAGCATACAAACGATACACATCCACTGTTAGGACGAGGGGTGCCCCCCACCCCCCGGCCTACCTTAACATTATCGGACTTCATCTCAGCGTCTGTGTAGAGGCCCTTCATGAAACCGGTCATCCTAATCACCTTCAAAAGATCAAGGCCGTGGTCAGCACCTATCACGGCAGCCTCTGTGTCAGCCTCAGCCCCAGAACCACACACTGTCAGAGCTGCCGGAGTCTGTCCATATCCAGGATTTAACTCCCTCCCATGTAACTCAGCCAGCTTTTGAGTGCCTACTGTCCGGGAGACCTTACACAGGCGGAACCCAGCCTGGGAGTGTGGACGGGTAAACACTGCAACAGACCTGCAGAGTGCTGAGGGAGCACAGGATCAGTCCCTGGTCCGAACACAGGAGGGGCCAGGGTGTCAGGGGAAGTTTCCCGGAAGACGCTGGATCTACACTGAGCCCAAGGGCTGAGTGGCAGGCGGGGGTGTTTAGGACCCATATGCCAGGCTAAACAATCCCTACAAAAGGTCCTGGGCCCAGAAGGTCCTGTTCAAGAGAGCAGAACAAGTTCAGCGCAGGAGGAGTCTAAGGCCAGAGTCTGGCAGGGCCGGTGTCAGGCAGGGCCTGATCCAGATGGCTGTCAAAGCCACCAAGAATACGGACTTTCACCTAGGACCCCGAGGAGGCCCTGAAAGGTTCAGAGGCAGGGGGATAGCATCTTACGAGGGTCACTCAGGCCCAAGGGCGAGAATGGACTTTGGAAAGAACAGGAATCTCTCAGCCTGGGTTTTGAGCCTGGACGGAAAGGTCTTTCTTCTCACTCACTTTACTACAACAGGGGGATGCTCTGTGCAATTGTCACTTTTGTTTTCTCCCTTCCTGTCCCTCCCCTCAGTCAACCTGTAGCTCCCCATTACCCTGAACCAGCTTTAGGGGTGGTGATTTTCCCTGTTCCTCCCCATGCCCACAGATAGCCAGGCTCCTCGTTCTCTCAGACCAGGGCTTTTCAAAATGCAAGCGGTCCCTGTAAAGTCAACAAAATGAGTAGCAACAAGCTTTTTTCTTTTCTTTTCTTTTCTTTTTCTTTTTTCAAAAAATAAACCAGAAAGGAAAGTGCCAGCTGCCCTGTATGCAGGAAGTATGAATATACCTACATGTGTGTGTTGTGGGTGGAATTAAAGCACATGTATTCATGCAAGTCATGTTCGTTGGAAAATGGACAGTCCCATGCTAACATGAGGCAATTTCTCTGAGACCAAGCACACCTCACTAGTAAGCTGGCTCTCACTCTCATCAACTACCTAAGAGCCGTGCTATCACTTCTCCTGAGAAGACAGATGGAATATTAAGAGTATCCTACACTTAATACTCCTAGAGCCTTTTCATTTTGTCTCTTCTGAGGTTTTCCTACATTGCTGGCAAGCAAAGGGACCAGAAACATTAACCTTACAAGATCAATGCTTTGATTTATGAAAGAAACAGTTTAGCTGTGGCTAAATTACTAATGTGGTGACTTGTGAAAACAACAGTCAGAGTTAAGATTTTCAGGAGTCTCTTTACCTCTTACATGAAAATGCTTTCCAATAATGTCGATCATTCTAAAATCCTTAACAAGCAGGTGACAATTAATGTATTTACCTTTCCATAAGCAGAGAAATTCATTTCAGCATTAGATTAGGAAAAAACCATGAAAGAAAAGCAGACCACTTGTTCTTAACTGCCTCCACACAACCTGGCTGCTGGTTCACCAAGTCAGTTCCTGCCTGAATGTCCCTCCCCCTTCCCCATTTCGAGGCACTCTGACGTTGCAGGAGCCCAGTGCCACACCAAGACCCACAGGAGGAGGCCTATCCCCGCCGCCTGTCCTCCAGCTCTCCACTTCAGTGGGGAGACAGGACTAACAGAAGATAAAAGCGTGAGGGTATGGTAAGTGCTGCAGTCACTGCTAACTCACTTCTTCCCTTCCGGGTTCAAGGGCACTACCTGCCTACTTCGAAAGTAATGCAGCACACAGCTGTGTTCCTTCCCCAAACACCATCTAGTGACAGGTGGAAGTGTTGCCCCAGCTACAGGAGGCTAGACAAGACAGCGCTGGGATGTGTGTGGGATTCCAGAGAGTTCTAAGCACAGTTAGGGTTTTCAACACAGAGGCACACATTATAAACTAAGTAGAGGCAGCAAATGATAAAGCAAAGCTTGTGGAGAATAATACACCCAACCTGTTAGCAAGAGTAAGAAATGAAGTTTAAGGACCAATATGTGGAACCCCTGGAAATCTGCAAGTTCAGCCTGATTCCTAACTCCCAGAGACCAGAGACCACGCCCAAGTCCCTGAGTTCAATGCTCTTAAGTGCACCATGGAGATGAGTTACCAGGAGCCTAGACAGCCTCCTTCAACAAAGAATGTGTGCTGTGCACCTTCTGTGTACCTTACCCAGTTCAGCTAATCCAGGATATGGCAACAAACAAGTAAAGTCTCCATCAGCCAGTAATTCACCTTCCACTGGGAAAAAGTTACAGACAACCAATCTCAACGGAGGTGAAGCTGTGCCCTTCAACAGCCAACATCAACCTGCTCTCGTACAGTTTTCCCCTGTGGGTCTCACTACAACCACGTTCAGCAAGTTTATCCACAAGTATTTATTAAACATCCTAAACATGATCACCATGGACAGAAGTGTGCAGAAAAACTGAGGATATGAGGATAAAAAAATAAATCACTTAATTCCCCCAACGATTTTTGATCACCTCTCATGAGCTAGGCACTGAAGGGGGGAAAAGAATCCCAGAAACGACTCTGCCAGGCACGGTGTTAGAAGAGTGCTAACAGGTACAAGGGTAGTCTGGAAAGAAAGAATGCTCAAGGAACCAGAAGAGCCGGCCCAGGAGAAGGGGTGAGAAGGGGAGAGCAGAGATGAGGGCAAGGAACTCAGTACAGTGGCACCACAGAACTGGGCCTAGTGGATGCTCCTCTGGCAGGACCTGCGATAGGCTATAGGAGGTCCGACTTTGACGTCAGTCCTGATTCTGGCCCCGGCCGGGCCTGCACCCCGCAACTGGGCCCTGACCTCCACTCCCGGCTCGGACCCCAGCCCGCACCCCACACTTGGGCCCTGACTCCCGGCCCTGACCCCCCCCCCCGGGCTCGCCCTGCCCCAGGACGTCTACCCTTGCCCCCCCCCCGCCCGCTCCTGGGCCCTGACCCGCACCTGGGGGTCCATTCCGGCCCGCACTTGGGTCCTGAATTCCGGCCCTGACCCCCACCCCGGGGCCCCGACCCTCAGCCCGCACCCCGGCCCCCGGCCCGCAACTGGGCCCCGACCCCCACCCGGGTCCCGACCTGCACCTGCACTGGCCCGTGCCTGGGTCCCGACCCCCACCCGGGACGCTGACCCCCGGCCCGCACCCGGCCCCCGGCCCCCGACCCGGCACCCACCTCCGTGATGATGTCGTGCAGGTAGCGGAACGGGGGCTTGCTCAGCAGCTTCTCCGTCAGCGGCGGCCTCCGGATCACCTTCCCCAGGGCCTCCTGCGTCCGCTTCACCACCGCGGCGTTCATGGCGGCGCCGCCCGCGCCCGCGCCCCCGCCGGCCAGCCGAGCCTAAGCCGTGCTCCCCGGCCGCCGCCGGCCCCGCCGCCGCCGCCCGCTCGGGCCTCGACGCGCCGCTCGGGCTCCCATCCCACAGTGCACCGGAGTCGGCCGCGGCGCATGCGCGGGGCGCCGGCCCCCGTCGCCAGGACATCGCGACCTTAGCAACGGACGCGCGGCGGCTCCCCGCCCCGCCCCTGCCGGCAGCGCGCTGAGAGAGGTTTGTACCCAAGGTCCTGCCGGCGCCTGGCAACCGGGACCAAGCCACGCCCTTATTCATCTACCAGGTGTCGCTGATTCCGGGCACCTGTCTTCCACCCACCGGGCACAGGCTCGCCGCGGAATTCCTTCTGGCGATTTGGAGGCTTTATGACCTGTTTTTCGTTCTTTTTTTATAAAAAGGTGCCGATTGCCCCTGCATCTTCAAATCTTTTTTTATGACAAATAATTGAGAGAGGGGACATTATTTTCAAGTGTACGACATAATTATTTGATCTTTGTGAATATTGCAAAATGACCACAATGAGTCTAGTTAACATCCACCACCATAGTTACAAAAAGTTTTTATTGTAATGAGAACTTTTAAGATGTAGTCTTAGCACCTTTCAAATATGTGACACAATATTGTTAACTACAGTCATCTTGCTGCATATCTCCATGACTGACTTTATAACTGAAAATTTACACCTTTTGACCCCTTTCATCCATTTCGTTCTTGTAATGGTATCTTTATAACTTATTAACATTTATTTTTACCGTTTTCAACGCTCTTCATTCTTTGCATAGACTCGAATTTCCATGTGGTATCATGTTCCTCTTGTCTGAAGAACTTCCTTTACTAATTTCTTTTCGCAAAGGTCAGCTGGCTATGAGCTCTGTCGCCTTCCTTTGTCTGAAAGTGTTTATCACACCTTCACATTTGAAAGATTGTTTCACAGCATTTGCAAGCCTAGGTTAACATTTTTTCTCTTTCACTGCTTTACAGATTTTACTCCACTGGCTTCTGGCTTACATAGTTTCTGAAGAGAAGTCTTCTCTAGTCCTTTGTTCTGTGTATATCTGGCTACCTTCAAGATTTGCCTTTTATCCTTGGTTTTTATAAATTTGCCCATGATGTATCTAGGTGTGGGAGTTTTTAAACTTAAAATTTATATTTGATTATTATTTATATGCAATAAGCTCCACCTATTTTACCTATTTTTAAGTACACTGATTGATGCATTTATGCTCCTGCACCACAACCAAGGTATATAACAGTGCATGCTCCCTAAGTATTTCCTCCTGCTCATTTGCAATCTACTCCTTCCCCACCCCAGCCCCAGGCAACCACTGATTCACTTTCTGTCACTATAATTTTATCTTTTCCAGAGTTCCATATAAATGAAATCATACACTACATAGTCTTTTGTGTTTCTTTCTCCTACAAAGACTTTGAAATTCACCCATGTTGCTACATACAGTAATATGTCATTCCTTTTTGTTGCTGAGTAGTGTTTCATAATATAATTTGTTTATCCATTCACCAGTTTATCGATACTTGGATTGCTTTGGAGTTTTGATTATTTGATTATTTAGCGCTGCTAAGAACATTCACATACAAGTCTTTGTGCAAACATAGTTTTCCTTTTGTTGCAGAATTGCAGGGTTCTTGTCTCGGGGGGTTGAAGAATGAATCTTGAGGACACAAAAAAAGGTGAAGTGAAGTGAAAGTTTATTAAGTGAAGTTAAGAACAGAAAAGAAAAATTCTCCAGAGTGAGACACGTCCCAAGTGGGTTGCCACTGAAGGTTTTAATGGTCGGTCTTTCATTTAAAACTGACCAGGGAACTGAAATCTTCTTAACGTCTCTACCACTGATAGCACCAAGTTTACCTCTCCTTTGAAGTTTAGTGGCTTTTAATTGTCAGTCTGTAACTGTCATAAAAAATATTTCATCTCCAGGGACACCAGAGTGGCTCAGTCGGTTAAGTGTCTGCCTTCAACTCAGGTCATGATCCCAGTGTCCTGGGATTGAGCCACCCCTTTTGGGGGGGGGGGGTCTTCTGCTCATCAGGGGGCCCACTTTTTCCTCTGCCTCCCCCTCACTGTTCCTGCTCGCTCTCCCTCTCTCTCTCTCTCAAATGAATAAATCAAATCTTTTTAAAAAAATCTCATCTCTGACATTTAAGACAAAAGGGATGGTCTGGTTATGTTCTCTTATCTTTGGTTCCTTACCCCTTAGCATTTTTCCACATCTGGGATTTCTGTGAGCCTGGTCATGTAACCCCCCCACCTCTCTCTCGCTACCTAGCCCCGCCTGTCCCTTATTCACTTTCTCTTGGATAAATACCCAGGACTGGCATTTCTGGGTGGTATGTTAAGATTATGTTCAACTTTACAAGATGCTACCAGGGTTTCAAATTCAAGTCATCTTTCATTCCCACCAGCAATGTCTGTGATTTCTAGTTGCTTTGTATTCCTGCCAAGACCTGATAGGTCAGTCTTTTTCCTTTTTTAGGTCAGTCTTTTTAACTTCAGTCATTCTTGGCATGGTGTAGTATCTTACTATGGTTTTAATTTGCATTTCTCTAGTGATTTGTGATTTTGAATTCTTTTTCATGTACTAGTTGGATATTCATACGTGATCGTGAAGAGAGCTCATGAAGAAGTGTCCCAGCATTAATGAATCACTTCTGTGCGCCGTGGAAAGTAATAAAAGGAAACGTAGTTCACCATAGAGAGTCCGGAGGCCAGCAGGAGGAGCTCTCACTCCCAGCGCTGGTTATCAATCGTAGATCCAACAGGAACTGAAGGACCTTGCACATGATTTTGATTCTACCATCCCAGCCACAGGAAGAAAGCTTTCCCCCTCGCCAGGCACTAGCCTGGTCAATGACAGACAGTCACAGTTCAGCCCATGGGAAGTCACTTGCAGCTCTCAGTTGCCTTCCACGGACTTTTTGTTTGTAAGCAACTCCCAACTCCCTCTTTCCTCTATCAAAGAGAATTTGTCTCTTTTGTTCTGGGGACTTGCCTATGGTTTTGCTGTGGCGTGCTTGTTCCTGAATTCTCTGCTATTCCAGAACGAACCCATTTTTGCTGGTAGAATACCTGACAGTTTTATTTTTAAGGTTAAAGGTGCAGAGGACTGGCTAGGCGCTGGGGACTTCATGGAGAACCAGGTTCCTTCTAGTGGCATCCATCCATGCCGCCCTCTGCTGTCCACTGCTCCGGGAAATATCACTGTCCCTGGGGCTAGCTGCATCCTGGACCGCATGAGTTGGGTCACCTGGACAGAGGCCAGGCGAGCCACCAGAGCTCATCTCCCTCCAGCAGCGCTGACCTGGATTCTGTCCATAATTCACCACGCAGGCAGGCTGCCTGTCTAAGACTTTACTGAGGAGTTAGGAGCCACCTAAGGGAATGACAACCCAGGAGGGAAGAAATTTGGCAACACTCACTGGATAGAGCTCTTCTGTGCTTCGTGGGGAAAAAGCACCCAGCAAATTGCACTCTCAGGCATGTTCCCTCCTGGGTGGCCCTGAGTTACCAGCCCTACTCCCCAGCTTCCAGGTCGACCCACTTAACCAGAGCACCTCCGTCCTCTGACCCCTCCTTTTTCAAATCTTCCTGACCTTCTAGAAACCCCACCATCTACATATGTATCTTCCCAACTACCCCCTCTCTTTCAGCACAGGGTGCTCCATTCCTGACTCATCCCAAGGCAGGGGCAGGACAGTTCAATCCCTCGGAACAGTCCAGGGTCATGGGGGACACTGTGACTCAGGCTTCTTCCGGGGCCCCCAGATCTTCATGGTTCTCCTGATTGTCTGCATATTTATCTTTATCACACACACACACGTCCTGCTTCCCAAGAACAAATGTTCTCAAACAGTTCATCAGCCTCCAAGAAGAAGAATAAAATGGTTTCCCAAATGTTTCGTCATTTCTGAACATCTTTGTCCACGCTGAAAGTAATATTTCATATTCACATGGAGAACAGTGTTAGCCTTCTTTCTTCCCCTTCCCTGCCCCTGCCGCTGCCCAACCCCCCCCCCCACACCCCCGGCTTCCCTGGAAATCTTCTAAATAGGGGAGATGGGCCTTAGTGAGACTGTGTCCTTCTTCAGGCCTGGGCCCTTGGTCCATGAGGGCTGGCACAGAGCTCTAAAGTGATTAAGCCTTTAGACAAAGCGGCACCAGCTTGCTGCCTTCTGGGTATTAGGGAGAGAAGCGGCAGAATGTCATTCTCACAGGATGGCCAGGAAGAGCCCTTCGGGGGCTGCACCAGAAACACAGGATGATGTGGTGTGTGAGAGCTGAAACATCCCGGCCCAGACGTCATCCCTGATCTGCTCACCATGGCAGAGCTGGGAGACCAGAGACTTCTGTGAGGAGCACCACCTCTGAGCTCTGAACAGTGTCTATATCGGCCTGAGTAAGGGTGGTGGAGGATCTCAGGGAGGTCACTGACCCTGGTCTCTGACCTCAAGTGTTCTGCCTTCCCAGCAGACACTACCTAGCCCCCTTCCTCCAAATTCATGCTAGACAGAAGCCTCCTCTGGGCCTGGGGCCCTGGGACAGCTGTGACCTGTAATGGCTTGTCTGTGAACAGTCAGTCCCCTGGAGTGGTGGGGATAGGGGCTATGCCACACAAGGGGGAAGCCTGATTCTGGTTTCTCCCACAGTGTGTGGGAAACAGGGGAGCCATCTAGGCCGAGGAGGCCCTATGAAGGCCTGTAGGCACAGGGCTTTCTTCTGTCTTTGAGGCTGAGGGCCAGGAGAGAGGGTCTCTGAGAGGATCTGGGACAAGGAAGCAGCATCACCAGACCCCAGTGAGAGCCTGTCTGAGGGAAACAGGCCACAAAGTGGGTATGGCAGCCTTTGCGGACATACCCCAGCCACATAAAGTGTCCTCCTGAGGCTTCCACATCGCCCAGGCAGGTCCACGCCCTCCGCACGGGGACTGACTGGGGCAGGGGTGCAGGGCCCTGGGGA